TGCTTGTTTGTTGTTCATATTGTGTGTGTTCTGTGTGCGTCTTTTTAATAGGATTTTTAATAGACCTCAACCTTTAGCTCGAGAGCAGCATCTTTTTATCGAGTGTGGTCCCTCACATCCAATCGCTCGCTTCTGTCGCGTGCTTTCATTGCCCCTTGCAGATTGTGTCTTTTTCAGTTTTCTCATTCTTTTAATATTTTTAGCTCTTCTTTCTCAGTTGTTATGATGTATGAAATGTGGATTGAAGATAGATTTTTTGGAATCGTCTGACCTTTTGGGTGATCATTGAGGAACTGATAAAATAATAACATGTTTATCCAGTGTTTTAAAATTTTGTAAAATTACGCTATGAAAACAATCTACTAGCTTGTCATGTTTTTTTAATTGTTAGCTATGGTGAATCATGGGAGCTCGACAAACTTTCAACTAAACAATAGTGTGGTCAAATGAACGTTAGCAATCTTATATGTCGGAGATGAACATCCAGAATACATAGCTTTATGAAGCAAAATGCAGGGTTGGAAATGGGAAATGAATATCCATACGCAGGAGTCTATACAATTGTTTTGTAAGAAATGCGTTCTATCATGAAAACGAGAAAAAGCATGAACCCGGCTAGCCGCTCATAATAACTTAGCGATTTTAAGAGTTATAAGTGAAGCTAGGAACATTTTTACAATAGGGAACAATTTTACACAACTATAACGGCTAACAGCTCTGCAGTTGAGTCACAGAATTGAAAAATATTCATTTGTATATACCTATGTATGTACATATACACATAAAGATGTAGTTTTGAACGTTTATCCAAGCATCTACGCAGGCTGTTGAATTATCAACCCTTACTTAAACGGAATATGCATACTGCCCACCCGTTTGGACAACAAATAGACTCCGCATATGCATAGTGCCCACCCCTTTGGCCAATGGGCACCCACCCCGTTTAAGTTTCACCCTCATATTATGGGGTTAAATAAAAATGGCGCACATTGTGGTACGAGTAGATGAAAAGTATACTCACATACATATGTATGTATGTATGTACATATGTATATATGTAGGTGTATATGCTTAATCCACCCACCCACATGAGTCCAGGATCAAATATGTCGCATATAAATTTACGCAACATATGCAGCTTCAATTATAGGGTGAATAAAGAAAGAATACAAAAATTTCAGGTCAGGATGGAAGAAAAGTGAAAGGTGAAAGGCACACACGGTCCTTGCCACGCTCCCGATGCATATGTATATTCAACACGTCGCGTGGCAGAAGCATCCTCTCTGAAACCTCTTTTGAATGGTCACAGATAAAAAAAAAATAGTTTAAAAAAACAACGTAACATTTTTCAACATACATATATAGGAAAAATAAAAAATAGGGAACAAAATGGGAAAATTCTCCAAAAAGCAGGCAAAATATTCATATGTATGTACATATGCGAACGTGAGCTGCATCCCTTGTCAACAATGGCACGAAAATACCGTTGCTGACCTCACGATGACCCCAAATGGAGGACTATGGCCCTCTTTCCGTTTCTGTTGATGATTTTGTATTCCCTTCGGCTTCATTCAGGCCGCAAACAAAGGGACGGGCCGGCATTTCTGTGACTGATTGCATGCAACGGCATCATATCCATGTATATCCTTTTTTGGAAGTGTGCGAGTGAGGAGTCTGGCGCTTCGACCAAACAATGCTTTTGCAGGCCAACGCTTTGTGCCAGCAGTTTCAGCCCGCCATTTGCATGTTTTCCAATCTCATATTTTCCTCTTACCATTTGCCATCATGCCAAATAAATACAACATGCAAAGTAAAAAGAATCCCCTATTTCTAATGTTATGCTGCAAAAGAGAATCGAAAGAAGAAAGGGGACGGAAGGTTCGCAGCGGTATGCAAAAAGGGAACAGTGCGGGAAAACGAAATGAGTTTGAAAATGCATGCAGAGTATATTTAAGGTGAATAGGTTTGCGTGAAAAAAATGTCCGATGAGAAACTGATGATATGGTATAGGATCCCTATATGTGACCCCTATTTGTCAGTGAAAACTTTTCAACATTATGTTTCTGTTTTACACAAATAAAAATGAATTATTTTCTTCCGATATAATCATATTTAGGTTCTTCAAACTGGTTTTAAAATCCAATCCCGAAAACGTTTCAATAGTGCAAAGAAGTCATTTCCCCTAAATGTATATGCTGTGTCAGAAACCATTAAACCATATAGAAAGGACAAACATTTTTGCGTTACTCTGATTTGCCGAATAAAAATACGATTTAAATCAGAGGAACTAAAAAAATTGTTCTGCTCGTTGTCCTGATGCCTAGAACCTTACCCCATGACGCTGCAAATTTCAAAGCCACGGTTAATTGAGACATGTAAGACATTTTGAAGATGCTGCCCAAGTATATTTCCCTTGTATATATGTAATTAAATTTTTTGCCAGTAACAACAGTCAGAGGCATTGTTTTTTTAGTCTGATGTGTCCGCTGACCCGTCTATATGGTGGCCTAAAAAAACTGAGGTACTTTTAAGGTACATGATATAAAATGCAGCCAGAGGATTAAGAGAACTCCAACTTTATTTTGTGGCTACTTGTAATTAATTTTGGTAAAGTCATGCAGGGGTTCCAAACCTTATCCTTTTTTAAATTATGATTGGAGTCCAGTATCCTCAAAATATTCACAGAGTCCAGTATCCTCGATTTGGAAATTAAACAAAATATGTTAAAATATGCTTTATTATATTTATATAAAGTAGGTGTCTAAGAATGTATTTGAAAAAATGTTGAGGTTTGGAATGAAAGTTACCAGCGCTTCCGCCTCGTACATTTAAAAAGATTTTTTGAGAATGTTTGATTTCGATAGCGGCTTAATTCAATTACTTCTATTCCCTTAAATACATCTTTAGTTGAATCAGCACAAAAAGAGAACATTTTTTCCCCAAGTGATTACTCAATTTGAATGGCAACGTCGAAAACAGAAGAAGAAGGAACCCCTCATCGCCAACAATTCGAACAACATGCTAATGCATCTGCTCCCCAAAGACACACAAGGCAAATGTGGGAAAGTTTGTCCCAAGATGTGATGGAAGATTGGTGCGGGAGAAGTTTGTGGAAGTCTGTCCGGGATTTAACGTTAATATTTTTATTTACACCCTTATAGTGCTAAACGCAAATGTACGTACTATCTGCTCCCTTTTCCGCTCCTTGCAATCAACTTCTACAACGGCAACAATCGAAATTTGCCTAAAAGAACTGCCACACCTCTCTTGTGGGTTGGTCAGATGGTGGGATGATTGTAGGATGGAAGTGGTGCAGTATGTGGTGGTTGGTCTTAGGTCACTTTCTTAGATAAACACATTTTGCCTAAACTTTTGTGCCGAGTCTTTGCCATATAAGTCAATTACATAGATCATTTATTACATGGCGTGGGAGACCCTCTTTTTTGTCTATGGCTGTTGACGGCGACGCGTGTTTCTAATGTGATTTTTTATTTGGCGAGATGCCGTGCTGGACAAACCGAAATAACCTTCTTATCATTTGATTGTGTCCCTGACTTAATTTTTTGTAACATTTGGCTTGCGTTATCCAAAAATGTTATCGATGACTAGACCTATGAGAGCGTTTTTGTTGGGGCTTTTTGTAAATTTTCTGGACTTTTAGCTTTTGAGGGCGTCGCTAATGGGGAAATATGGCAAATCCTGTAGCTTCTTTTAAATAAATACAAAGTTGATTTGTTGAATAAGTTTGAATTATTGAACAAATTTGTCAAAAAAAAGTTCCTTTCTAGACTGAAACCCATTATTACACAACACATTAAAGGAGCTTTTCATTAGACCCAATCAAAATCCCCAGTGTATAAAAAACATTTCCAAATACAGCGCCGAAAACAAATTTATTTGTTTTTTGTTTTCACTATTCATAGAAAACAAGGCAGCTAAGAAGTTTCTCAATTTTCTCCGCTTGCTTCTGGGACCATTCTAATATGCTAAAAAAACGAATGGCTGTCCTTTTTCTAGACTTACCAAGCCCCAAGTAAATATCTGTCACTATAAGATACAGAAACTCTCATTTCCCATTCTTGACTTTTTGCTTTCCTTGTGTGTGATGTTCCCGTGAGATAGTTTGATTAATGGCCTAAAAGTACTAGACATATTTGGGATTTGTTCTTTTTTTGTGAGTAATGTGGGCAAGAAAAGCAGGAAACCGTTAACGCATATGACGCCTAGCATGCTGGACACTATTACGTTTCGACACTACATAAACAGAGAGACTTTTACCTACACAAAAAGTTCCCTGTTTATAACGCGAAATCATCGAACTAACGTTTCCGCTTGATTTATGGCATGTTCATATTATTTCGGACTCCCAAATTGTATTGGTTCCGTTTAAATTTACAGCACGAGAGGGAGAAAATAGAAAAAAGTTCCCTGGTGCTGACAGTTTGCGTTTGTCACGCGAAGGCATTTAACGGATCGTTGCTGTCTTTACCGTTTCTGGTGTTTTATTAATCAAAATTCCTCATTCGTCTGGGCGTCGTGTTTGATGCGGTTATTTATTTTAATTCTCTTCTCCGCCAGAAAAAGAGCACTCTGATTTGACAAGCGAAAGGGATGGATGGCTAATGGCTTCAAATGTTTATCCAATTGTAATTCATATTGAGTTATTGTGGAGAAGAGGTTCAGCTTAAATTTCAAATCTTTACCTTTTATCGATAGAAGATTTACAAAAAGCACACCTCATACCTACCCCTTTTATATGTACCATAAGCAATTCAACCCTTTTACATTCAGAAGGTAAGGATCGCATGTCCACAAGCAATATAAATGTTCCCCAGCCGTAAGCCTCCTTTTTATAACTACTTTTATATTGTTTTTTAATTTTACCCGAACCAATGAGAAAATGTTATATGAAGACTTTCACGGTCGCCTTAATACACAGAACCCCAAAAAATGGTTAAGCCGGCAAACAAACAAATAATAGCTATGTATCCCATTAAATTCGAATTACAAACACGAACAGTTGGCGCTCTCTTTGAAGTGACCACTTTAACTAGTCACCCCTTTAGAAGCGTGTAAGAACCACCAAATGACGTCACATATTCTCTTTTTCTAGAATCAATTAAGGTGAAAACATTTTTGTAATCGCAAAAATGATACCACATAGGATCCCAAAATGTCCCAATGACTCAGAGCTCCGCCAAACTATAGATATATTAATTCTTATCTTTTCTGAAAAAAAAAAACAATTTAATTCAATCCTCATCTGAACGCATTCATTCAGCACCAGTCATACTCACGCTGGTAAGGCTTTCGGTTCGTTAAATGTAAAGGATGTTTAACGATGTCATTTTTGACAATTTGGATTACAGCCCGAACTTATTGCTAAAACAAAATATAAAATATACTAAATTCCGACTCACGTTCCATTTCAATTCCATGGTTTTCATTGCATTCCTGAAATCTTTGTCTACAAATGAAAGAATAAGAAGCATTTATTTTACCAAAATCATAGAAAATGTTACCACAATCGATGTGGGCGACACTTGACTATTCTTATGCATGCATTTTTATATTTTCTGTAAAGACAACTGACAGAGGGTGTAACGTTTCTTGAATAATCATTATTTTTTTTTGTGTGTAGCTAGAGCCCGATCTACAGTAGCTGAAAGGAAGCGCACGCCAATATGCATAATCCCTTATGTACACCTTGAGTTTGGGACAATCCCAAAGAATTTGATAAGGGATGCATGGTTGTAAGGATATACATACATCGATTGCATCCAAATAGCAAAGGAATTTTGTAGTACCTAAGAGAGATCTTTAAGGCACGGCGACAGCTGTGCTGGTTGTGTGGAGTATGCAGAACAGAATACAGGATTAATTGTAGATTGTATGCAGGCCAGAGGATTTATTTATTTTCTTTTGTGACGTTTAATCCATAGTGAAAGTATCAACCAATTTTCTAACGTAAAAATAAAAGAAATATAAACATATGTAGAACCATATGTAGCACAAAGGATTCAGATCCAAGGATTCAGATATATTTAAATAAACAATTAAAGCTAAAAGCGTTTTGCTCCTTGCTGCCTGATTATACATGCTCTCTCATATTAAAGACAACATGTAACTCTACCATTATTTCTTATTCAGTGCATCCCACTTTCTTTTGCCATTGTATTCGTGTTAATGTACCAACAACCTTATAAAATCAAGTCAAAATCCTTTTCTTGTTAAATGGTCTTTCAAAACTTAAATGCCTTGTATCTGCGTCTCTTTACCAAGATTTATAGTTTTTCGATTTTCAATGCCGCATCTCAATTATTTACGATCGTTCCTCTATTCTTTAACTGCTTATCCTTTTTCCTGTCTTGTAGGTGTCTTGATTTATTGGCATTTTTTTGTATGTTGTTCGCAATTTGATAAGTTGCCTTGCACAATGAAAAAACAGGGATTCATGGTTTTTCTTACCGAGGCGACGGTTCCAAGCAGGTTGGTAGTTTCTGAGTCACTTTCAATTGTTATTTCTCGATCAAATAAGTCATCATCCAAAGTATTAAAAAAAAGTTTTTTTAATTACGGTTTATTATATTTTGGACATCCTATGCGCAAAGTAACGCTATTTTTGCTTAACTACAATTCTATCAAAATTGATTTGCAAAGAAAACACAGGCATAGTGCGGCAAGTGCCACACGCCTCGGAAAGGTGGACCTACATACAATATGTACTTAAAATACACAGAAAATCCAGCCAGATAACCTAAAATATGGTCACAATGTTACCTTTGGAACATTGCACAGCTAACAAACAGCTTACCTAATTTATAGTCTTAAGGCTTTGCACCGTAGATATTAAATGCAATTGTTGCGGCATATTCTTTTTGAAATTTTAAACTGGACTATGTGGTCTTTGTTCCGGGAAGGAACCCGAACCAAGGGTTAGGAGGATTATCCGAGGTTTTGCTAACAAATGAAATTGGTACGGATTTCTCTCAAGACTCATGGAATATGCCGTAACCTGTGTACGTCCAAAATGTACATATGTATATACATATACATACATATATCAAGTTAATACTCTTAGTGACTCATTTCTTTCTTGCAGTAAAACTAAGTTCAGTTAAGTGACCATTATGCCACTTTGGTCTCAAGCTAGCCCATTCTATTTCCATATAAAAAGCACCTAAGACCTGTAAAACCTAAACCCTAGAAGAAAAAAAAACCTCGGCCAATAATTTTGAGTGTTCTGAGCGCACTGAAGAAATGGGGCGGCTGGTGTGCTCATGAAAATTTGTTAGGCAACTTAAGCTATCGCATAAAATTCAGAATCCTCTCATTCTCATTTTCTCATTACACTATATTCTACTGTCAGTTCTTATAAAGGACACATGTCTAAGTCCTGTCTCCTGTCTGCCAACCACCGCATAAATTTTTTATTCTAACACACACAGCTGACTAGTTATTGTTTTTTATGAGCTGCGACAATGGCACGCCTTTAGGAGGAGTATAAGAGACTCACACTTGGGCTGAGATGTAGATGTAGAATAGGCAACGGAGACAGATAAGACAGAAATCAACACGAAGAATATGTGGCAATATTATGAGCAGGTACACTATACCAGTTCCAGGAATAAATTGCAGTTTAGGGATTTCCTGTGGCGAGCAAGTGGTTTGAGTTGCGTACATTATAGATGTTTTTTTTTTAAATACTTCAAGAACGCCGAGAATGTGGAAATATTATTAAGCTGATAGCTCACAAGTATTGGAAGAAATGGAAGGACATGCGTTAAGAGGAACAATTGAAAAATTGAATTCAAAATATTTTCTCTAAAAATATTCCTTACTTTATGCAAATCCCGATCCCGGTCCTTTTCGCTCAGAAGGAAAGCAAATCGAAAAGATGTTGAATTGCGTGGTCATCCCCATTAATCGAACAATAAATAAAAACGAATCAAACAAAACAGCAGGCAGAAACTTCAACAAAAGCAACGGGCGGCCATAAAAAGCTTTAGATAGGGGTTGTTTTTTAACCCTTCATTGCCAGCCCAATCAAAATGGTAGGCCAAATTTGGTCTGGTTTTCTTGTAAATAAAACCCTGACCCTGCGATAACTGCTTTAAAGGAACCTGGTTTCTCAGGTAACCCAAAGCCCCTAAAAGAATGCCCAAGAGCTGCCCAGTCTCACTCCACGAGCGTCTTAAAGCTAATAAACTCTAAACAACATGAAAGAAAATACCACTCACTGGACTCATCCCCACATCCCAAAAAAAGACCGACAACAGATAGTACTCAGCAAGCTAAAAAAAAAAAACTTAAATGATGAAGAAAAATTGTAAAACGAAGGCGTATTTTTCCTTTCATTAGATGGAAAAACGAGCAGTTCTAACGCTCTTGCTCTTATGCGAAAGGACATTCATTGGAAAACAAGCTAAAACAAGTCGAAATATTGCCCCATCACAACATCGGTTGCTGGTACCGCAGATGAAAGTTAACAAGGCATCAGGTAACATGAGGCTGTCTCCAAAGAAGTATAACGGGTATCCTAGCGACGATTCTGCTGGAGGATAAGATGGAGGCTGTCGAAAAGCAAAGAATGTCCAGCACACAAAAAAAGAAAATGAAGCTTAAAATTGTATCTCTAAACAAAAGGTAGCGGACCAAATCCCACTTCGCCTTTTTGGGGGACGGGGTACATAGCATACAAGCCATATGTTATATCTTCTCGCATGTCCTACGCCTAAGGCAAGAGTGTATGGCTCTTCTTCTTGTTAAAAAGAACATCCCACGCACTCAAAACTACCAACAACTTGAGTCACACATCTGCCATACACTCGCACCGCTACGTTTTCATATGGCTCCCCTTTTAACAAATTTGTATGCCTTTCTAAAACTGCAGCCAAAAATCATTTAAAAAATGTCAACGACTGTAAAAATAAAACTCTAATGTGTAACGCAAGTCTCTGGTCGCGCCTTAAAGAAAAACTCGAGTTAATTTGTCATTCCACTTCCTGTCAGCTGCGCTGCCTATGTGGATGTTCATAGCACATTAAAACTATGTACATTATTTGCACTACAATCTAAAAAACCCTTTAAAAATCCATTTGACATCTAAAATTTTCTCTTTCTTACTAAATTTACATATATACTTATTTATATATGTATATGTCGGTTCATAGTCTTCTTTTATTTTAGCTTGAGCTAAGATCACTGCGGTCTGCCGCTAAATAGTGATTATTAAAAAGTCAAATTCTGGATTAGAAATGCTTCACAATACGATTGGTTATGCCACATAAATTTGTAATTTAAAATACTGGCATAATGTATTGAAAGGATTCAAAAGGGAATACTGACCACGTGCAGCAAAAAGGCGTGTGGTGCAACCACGCTGTGAGTCGGACAGCAGCTGCTTTAAATGCTGGTCAGTATGATTCTGAGTGACCGTAAATTACACAACTGCCAGCAGAAAGAGCAATCCTTTGGCAACACTTTTATGACCCTCGATGCGAATTTTGGCTGTTTCTCTGAAAGGCTCCTCTGACAATATATAATTGTCTTGCATTGTCCTATCGGTTTCCTTGTGCGCAACCTTTTGTGACCACACATAATTTATTATATTTTTAGACCAAGGAAACTCACAGTTTGCCTTTCCCACGCAGAAGACGACGCCAGACTCGCCATTCAACTGAATGACTGAATTCTACTACTGTGTCCTTTTCTTTTTGCTATACAACTCCTTTTGACCCTATCACTTGTGTGCAGTCTCTTGACTTTTTTTTTTACTTTAATGTTGCGTGGGTTCGACTTCTTAGAACTCTTTGAGTGATAAACAGTTATCTCCCAAAGGGCTTCCTCGGAAATATTTCTAGGGCGTTATGACATCTAGAGGACATCTCTAGTGAAGACCAAAACGTAGTAATACTCGTATGATGTTACGTCAAGCTACCCTTTGTGTTTTATGAGGATTTCTCTAGATGAAATTCATATCAAAATTACTTGTAGACATGCATATTATTTATTTTTATAATTATAAAATATACAAAGGGCAACTAAATAATTTGAACCAACATTACCGCTATATAATAATTACATTAAAATACACACGTTGCATAATTATGTTTTCTGTTAAGTAATTGGCAATACTCAGGGATGCGTACTGAAATGCCAAGACAGTTTGAATTTGGCTCCAAGCACAGGGCTGATAATTTCGCAATGGTAATGCTCTAAAAGAGCTGCCAGATGCACGCAAATAGTAATATTGTTGCCAGATGGACCGATTTATGTATAGTAATAACCTTGTACAAAGATGTATGAAAAAACGATATTGAAATCAGCCCTCGCGTCCATAGGTAGTTTATCAAGTTCTCTGTGCCCCATTCAGTTCCACTCAGCTCATTTGTTGCAACTTTATCTATTGTTTACAAGTGGTTCCATTCGGCTGCAGATGGAGAGCGAATGAGTGTGAGTACAAAAAAAGAAGAGACCATTATAGTTTCGACTCTCTGGAGTATCTCGCTTTCGCTTTAAACTTGCCACAACTTGCTATTGTTCCTCTACACTATTCAATTTTGATTCAGATAGGAAAGACGCGTCAGTTAAAAATAGTTACATTATTCTCTTTTCGATAGCTTTGCCCCTTTCACTTTACAAGCATGCAGTTTTAAAGCTGTAAACAATGCAATCCGTGTCATTGAAGCACACCCGAAAAAAATCACTCTAAAAATTAAACATGAAGCGCGGTTTCAGTTACAAGTTCGTCCTCAATTTCTGCAGTTTTTTATTTCTGGTAAGTTTTGGTAAACTGTTTACCTGGAAGTAAAAAAAAAACTATTATTATCAAAGTATGATTTGGTGAAAATGATTTTTAAATTTATTGTTCAATTATTGTGAGCGGGTTAAGCTAGGCTTAATTTTTCTTTAACCTAAAAAGAGTAAAGCTTTAGATTTTATTTCGATCGCACACAAACTTAAGTAAAACTAGAATTTAATTGTCTCAAAACCAAAATAATGCTCTTATACATTTGTACATATGTACGTTAACATAGGGATTTGTTTAGAACAACTAAATACATTTTAATTTCATTATTTTTAGTAAATAGTATGATCATTTTCGTTTAGGGTTTCCCATCACTTTGTCGGTTTCGTTATGGTTGGCTGATCAGCGAAAATGTACATTAGCGGGAGCAAATAACTTTTCCATTTTATTTCAAAAGAACAATACAAAACAGGTGCTGATTGCTACTATGCAATTTAATACGCATTTTTTTGAACTATGTATTAGGGGACCAAAATTTACCATATTTCAGAGTCAAAACTTTAATATTTTTTTCTTAAATCTAATGTACTTACATTGTATTCTAAATCTTTTTCAGATTTGTGGTATTCTACTCGTTGTATCCGGATGCTACCTGTTTACCGATAGCAAGCGCATTTTGCTGTCCAGACTACTAGCCGCTCCCAGCGACCGTCTTAACGCATTACCACACCCATTGCTCTACTACATAGCTCTAGGATTGGCTATTGCAGGATTTGTAGCGGTGCTGGCATCTGTCGTGGGCTTTTGGGCTAGTTGCCTGCACACCTACTGCTTTCTCAGCATCTACTTTTTAAGCGTCGTGGCTTTACTCTTGACTGAGTCCGTTATATGCTTGGCTATCACTCTTTGGCCCCACTGCTTAGGCATTAGTCTAGATGAGAGTCAAATGATAAAGTCTTTGCAGACCTTTTATGGTGTACCGGGACAGGAGCAGTACACCAATGCCATGGACTTGGCACAAACTCGTTTTGGCTGCTGCGGGATGAAAAGTTCATTGGAGTACGACACATCGTTATGGCGTCTTCAAAGCTATGGGCAAACCAATTGGCCTGTTCCATTAAGTTGCTGTGTACTGGAAAATGCATCACAGCCACTCGCCTATCTAGATCCGAAGCCAGCAAATGAGTCTCAGTGTCAGTCCCTGGACCATTTATCCTATGAGAGAGAGCGCTATACGGAATCATGTCTACTTCATCTCGACACCTGGTATCGGGAGCAGTATAGTATATTCCTTGGCGCCAGTATTTTAATGGCTCTTGTGGAGTTCTGTGTTTTGCTCGCCATTATAATGAGCTGCACGGGAGTTGCCTCCCAAAAGGCTAGGCTTGAAAATATTCAAAACCTAACTGCTCAAAAGCGCCAACGGCTTACAGCCCTGTCACAGCGTGGTCTTGTCAATAACATATATAAACCAGAGGTGGAACTCAGAGTAAACTCTGGCCACGATATGAACGGCGTATGCCTGGGAGGACTTAGCAGGCACGTAAGCAGTGAGGACTTTACAGAGATGTATCTAAAGCCCAGCGATCCACATACGCACAAAAACAATGCGTCGTTCCAACCAATTTCTGCTAACTTCCAAACGCAAAGGATGAATTATTTGGTTTAACTTTTCAAACTCTAAGCTGAGAGAAGGTAGATATGGAATTTACTTACTATTCATGATACACATATAAATATATTTTATTTTGTTTGTTTTAGATTGTGAAACTCAACGCAATGTGAAGCTGTGACGGTTCTTGAAGCTATCTAGATATATACATACATATATGCACATTAAGGAAATGAATTTCAGTACAATGTTAATTACTAATTTTGTGTTGTTTGCAAGCTGGAATCGTATTTGTCAGGTCTAAAACCTTGTGGGAATGATATGCTAAAGAAACCCAAACGAGAAAATAATAATTTAAGATGAATTCTTTATTTATAAAGTCCGTAAATTGTAAATTTAACTGTTAGCAAAATATTGCAAAACAATTTCAAATAGTCATTTTAAGATATATGTATGTATGTAAAATACGTCTAAATCATAAATACATATGTAAATAAATAATGTGTGTCTTTTATCCTATTGATGTTTGCCACGCCTGTATTTGTTGCATTACTTTAATCATTATTGCGTTACATTTTGTAGGATCTGTAGTTGATATAATCTCCCTCAAATAAAAAGCCCTTGTTAAGTCAGGCAAATGTATTTACATGTTCTGTTCTGTTCTTTGAAATTAAATGGGTCCGCGCTTTTCAAATTTAATATAGGGCCCGGCACTGCTGTGAAACTTCTAGTAGAACCACTAGGCACTGCTGTGGTGTTGCGGATTGGGATTTCGATTGAAATTTTGGGATCAGGATTGCAGTTTAGCATGCCCTGAAGGCATAGCGACATATCTCCGGGCGACATATCTCCTAGCAGGCCTTGACGACATATGTATCTCCGCACCGAGATACTAGGAGATACACCCCGAGGGTCAGGAGGACAGTTTTATTAACTCGTCACAGGTCTCTGCGGACGGGCATAGCTCCACCCTGCTATCACTGGCCAGCAAGGGTACGAATGCCTCGAATAGCTTCTCCTTTCGGAAGACACGGTCTTCAAAGTCTTGCAGGCCTTTTTTCCAAGATCATGGACGTGCAGACGCCAGCGTCAGTCCTGGTGACATTGCCGCAGTCAGGCGACACGAGGGCTGCCCTTGTGGCCAAGAAATAAAAAAACAATCTATTCGATAAGCAGCGCCAGGAGCTAAAGAAAAATATATCTTGCAAAATATAGTCTATGTGTATATAAAAACCGCCTAATGAACCAAATGTGGTAAGGCCTCTAATCCCGAAGAGGGATTACATGACGGATTGCTGCAATTCAAATGAATAATAAAGATACAAAAATTAAATTTTACTTGTTTTTTATTTTCAACTATTTAGTGAAGGGGTGCCCAGGCCCATTGCTCCGCGAGCTCTTTTGTTTTTGTCATTTCTCCCAGCATAGGAAACTAATTCTTGTATCCATACACCAGCGGTGCCCAAATTCAGCTTACGGCGGAGCACTCACCAATACTAGCAAACAAAAACACAAATGCCAATAAGGGAACAGTGCAAACTCGAAGAAAGGCAACAACAAAATCATAACAAAATGGCGGTAAAACCAATCAGAGAAGAGACAAAATCGGTTTTTGCTGGACGCATTGCATACACACAAAGTAGTTTGCATGTGTTGGGCTTCGGTATGCTGGTACACAGCACAACCTGTGTATGGATACAAGAATTGGATCTATTCTAGGAGCAATCTGCCGCGGCAGCTACTATGGCTGCAGGGAGGATTGTGCAGCAGCAGGTGCTGCCAAAAAGGCGCATGGCCAAACGGCGAATACATTCATACATTCGAATGAATACATTCATACATTCGAATGAATACATTGATAAATTCGAATGAATACATTCACACATTGGAATGAATACATTCATAAATTCGAATGAATACATTCATACATTGGAATGAATACATTCATACATTCGAATGAATACATTCATACATTCGAATGAATACATTCATACATACATACATGCCGTGTGTGGGAAGTGGGTGGCAGGAGCAGCGCAGGGGCTGCCGATAGGGCGCGGAGGCGGTGCCGCGGCAGAGACAGCTACTATGGCTGCAGGGAGGATTGTGCAGCAGCAGGGGCTGCCAAAAAGGCGCATGGCCAAACGGCGAATACATTCATACATTCGAATGAATACATTCATACATTCGAATGAATACATTCATAAATTCGAATGAATACATTCATAAATTCGAATGAATACATTCATACATTGGAATGAATACATTCATACATTCCAATGAATACATTCATACATACATACATGCCGTGTGTGGGAAGTGGGTGGCAGGAGCAGCGCAGGGGCTGCCGATAGGGCGCGGTGGCGGGGCCGCGGCAGAGACAGCTACTATGGCTGCAGGGAGGATTGTGCAGCAGCAGGGGCTGCCAAAAAGGCGCATGGCCAAAAGGCGAATACATTCATACATTCGAATGAAAACATTCATACATTCGAATGAATACATTCATACATTTGAATGAATACATTCATACATTCGAATGAATACATTCATAAATTCGAATGAATACATTCATACATTGGAATGAATACATTCATACATTCGAATGAATACATTCATACATTCGAATGAATACATTCATACATACATACATGCCGTGTGTGGGAAGTGGGTGGCAGGAGCAGCGCAGGGGCTGCCGATAGGGCGCGGTGGCGGGGCCGCGGCAGAGACAGCTACTATGGCTGCAGGGAGGATTATGCAGCAGCAGGTGCTGCCAATAAGGCGCATGGCCAAAAGGCGAATACATTCATACATACATTCGAATGAATACATTCATACATTCGAATGAATACATTCATAAATTCGAATGAATACATTCATACATTGGAATGAATACATTCATACATACGAACATGCCGTGTGTGAGAAGTGGGTGGCAGGAGCAGCGCAGGGGCTGCCGATAGGTCGCGGTGGCGGGGCCGCGGCAGAGACAGCTACTATGGCTGCAGGGAGGATTGTGCAGCAGCAGGGGCTGCCAAAAAGGCGCATGGCCAAAAGGCGAATACATTCATACATTCGAATGAATACATTCATACATTGGAATGAATACATTCATACATTCGAATGAATACATTCATACATACATACATGCCGTGTGTGGGAAGTGGGTGGCAGGAGCAGCGCAGGGGCTGCCGATAGGGCGCGGTGGCGGGGCCGCGGCAGAGACAGCTACTATGGCTGCAGGGAGGATTATGCAGCAGCAGGTGCTGCCAAAAAGGCGCATGGCCAAAAGGCGAATACATTCATACATTCGAATGAATACATTCATACATTCGAATGAATACATTCATACATTCGAATGAATACATTCATACATTCGAATGAATACATTCATACTAGAGGTGTCAAACCATCGAGGGCACTATCGATAGTAACAATATTTTACTGCTAGTCTCTACTATCGACGGTTTTGCGACTAGCATGATAGTATCGAGCTACAGTCGTTGCGCTTTTGATATGTTTATGGTATTTTTTTATGATATGGATTAGCTGCTATAAAATACGAATACAAATTTGTAAAAAAATCGATAGGTGGCATCTAATTTTTACAATGGACAAGTTCCTAAAAGGTTTCAATGGTTTTTTAATAATTATTTGAGCCCGATACTATTACGGCAGTATCGATTGTTTTTTTCAAAACATTCAATGTTGATATTCCTCGATTTTGATATTCCGTGTAATATTACTAGCTAGCTGGGACTCTCAGCCCTAAACAAATAATTTTATCCAATTTCTCAATGAATTTTGTTTAGGATGGGCTAGTTTTTAGAAGTCCTTTTTATTGGATTATTTACATATTAAGGTTCAAACAAAAACAACATAAAACGAATGTGGCTTTACCATACTCCTGCAATTCGTAGTAGCTGCGGGCTGCCATACCGTGATATTTTGTGATATGAAATTCGTCAATTTTGATATTCCGTTTAATATTACTAGCTAGCTGGGACTCTCAGCCCTAAACAAATAATTTAATCCAATTCCTCAATGAATTTTGTTTAGGATTGGCTAGTTTTCAGAACTATTTTTCATTGGATTGTTTACATATTAAGGTTCAAACAAAACCGGCCAAGGCATAAAACGTAAATGTTGACTAAATGTGACGTCATTGTTGCTGGTCAACCAAGTTTTGTGATATGAAATTCGTCAATTTTGATATTCAGCTTAATATTACTAGCTAGCTGGCACTCTCAGCTCTAAACAAATAATTTTATCCAATTTCTCAATGAATTTTGTTTAGGATTGGATAGTTTTCAGAACTATTTTTCATTGGATTGTTTACATATTAAGGTTCAAACAAAAGCGGCCAAAGCATAAAACGTAATGTTGACTAAATGTGACGTCGTGTTGCTGGTCAACCAAGTTTTGTGATATGAAATTCGTCAATTTTGATATTCCGTTTAATATTACTAGCTAGCTGGGACTTTCAGCCCTAAACAAATAATTTTATCCAATTCCTCAATGAATTTTGTTTAGGATTGGCTAGTTTTTAGAAGCCATTTTCATTGGATTGTTTACATATTAAGGTTCAAACAAAAGCGGCCAAAGCATAAAACGTAAATGTTGACTAAATGTGACGTCATTGTTGCTGGTCAACCAAGTTTTGTGACGTTACCAGACTCCTGCAATTCGTAGTAGCTGCGGGCTGCCATACCGTGATATTTTGTGATATGAAATTCGTCAATTTTGATATTCCGTTTAAGATTACTAGCTAGCTGGCACTCTCAACCCTAAACAAATAATTTTATACAATTCCTCAATGAATTTTGTTTTGGATTGGCTAGTTTTCAGAACTATTTTTCATTGGATTGTTTACATATAAAGGTTCAAACAAAAGCGGCCAAAGCATAAAACGTAAATGTTGACTAAATGTGACGTCGTGTTGCTGGTCAACCAAGTTTTGTGATATGAAATTCGTCAATTTTGATATTCCGTTTAATATTACTAGCTAGCTGGGACTCTCAGCCCTAAACAAATAATTTTATACAGTTCTTCAATGAATTTTGTTTTGGATTGGCTAGTTTTCAGAACTAGTTTTCATTGGATTGTTTACATATTAAGGTTCAAACAAAAGCGGCCAAATCATAAAACGTAAATTTTGACTAAATGTGACGTCATTGTTGCTGGTCAACCAAGTTTTGTGACGTTACCAGACTCCTGCAATTCGTAGTAGCTGCGGGCTGCCATACCGTGATATTTTGTGATATGAAATTCGTCAATTTTGATATTCCGTTTAAGATTACTAGCTAGCTGGGACTCTCAACCCTAAACAAATAATTTTATACAATTCCTCAATGAATTTTGTTTTGGATTGGCTAGTTTTCAGAACTATTTTTCATTGGATTGTTTACAT